TGACATGTTATAACTATTTCATGTAACTGATAAATTAAGTGGAAATTTATTTTGTAAACACGTGGCAATCCTCCTAAATATAGTTCTTAAATAAAGGATTTTAAACCGATTTCCATTGATAACCATCGGTTAGCAATTCATTTAACTTATTAAATAATTTCAGCTTAGCCCTTTAAACTGGGGCAACCCTCAACACACATCAAAAATGTTCTAAATTGTCAAACTAAGTATTTCTTGAAGCTCTTTCATTTGACATCCATCGTTATTATTTCATATAAAAAATAGTTCAATTAGACTTGTAAAATAGGTGGCAACCCTATTCAAGATATGTTCAAACTACTGCCTTCTTAAACCTCTTTTGTATGACACCCATATAGCGATTCCTTATTCACTTACCAAATTCCTTTAACTAAAATTGAATTACATATTTTTACAAGTGGCAACCCTCCTATACGCAGTTAAGTTATAAGCAGTGTACGAAAATAAACTATATTGTACCTTACTATTTCGTCTCGTTTATTACTTTAACAGTTCGGTACAATACGAAAACAAAACGGCTGAGTTCACTTTGGCGATAGTACACTACAGTAGTTAGTAGTTACATACGAAACAACAAACGAAATGAATCGTGCAGAAAAAAATATATGTATGTATGTACATATATGCAATAACTAAATACAAAACGAATGGCTGCAATGAATAAAAAAAATAAAAATGTTTTTTAATCGAATTGGATATGAAAATTTACAGAAAAAAATTTTTTTCACGTAATTGAAATGTTTGCATACATATAAAACGTACTATATGGTACAATTGTCACAAACGAAATGCAAACGTTTCTCGTTGGGGAAAATGACAGTGAATCTTACAATTTGTTTCTGACTATGTACAAAACTGTACAAAACCACAAATGATATGATGATCGATGAGCAAATGGAAATCGTTTTGTACAGTTTATTTTCGTACCCTGGTTATAAGGCCTTTTCAGAACGATTTCGATTGGTACCCATATTTAATAATTTATTTAACTTTTTAATTAATTTGAGCTTAATTTCTGAAAAAGTAAGTAAGTATGCTCAAAGAATAAAAATTAATAAATAAATTAATTAATACATTTTTTTTACTAAAATTGCAATTGTCTTCGAAAGTATTAGTCCTACATAATTTGGTATATGGACCTTTTTCGTAGAGAATCGAAGTTAGCTAAAAGAACAATTTTTTAGTACTTGAACTCTTGTGGACATGGGCGAGCCTAGGATATTGACCAAAAATTTTCATATTTCACACAGATTTATTTTAGAGCGTAATGAACCATATTTTTGCTATTACCAATCAAAATTATAAAAAAGCGGATTTTCGGCCCACGCTAATGTGTATGTTTAATTTTCATTCAGTGATAATCCAAAAAATATATGTATGTATGAAAATATACACATACTTATAATACGTAGTATAAAAATAATAATAAAATATTTGATTTACAATAATCAGTAGAGATTGATGATAAGAATATCTTTTAGCAAATCGTCGTCAATACTACCTCGTAGGTCCAAAATAATAAATAATAAATTTAGGGAGGAAAATGCCCAAGTTTAAGTGTCAAGTATCAATAACGCGCAAGGTTAAGTGACAAGTATCTGTCAAATGAGATAGATTGCTATTACATTAGTTGTGTTTCCTTGGGTTCGGATTCGATGCTTTAGAAATGTCCCGATTTTTGGCCGCAGAAATCTGGCGACCGTAATTATACTATGTATGTATGTAGTTATTTATTGAACTTATAAGAAGCCTATGAAGTTTCATCAGTGGACAGATCAGTATAAATCGTCAAATAATTGTTTATTAAATTAAAATTCAACAAAAAAACATCAACTACATATTTAAGTACGTATTTAAAAATTGTAAAGACACTCTGAAAACGTTATTAGTATGTAAATAAAGAAAAGCGCTTTCTCATTGTATAAATTCGTTTTACTGAAATATTGAACCTGTAAAAATGCGTCGGCCTCTCTGCTTTACTATATTTAAATATTTTTGACCTAGTTTTTCATCACACTCAGTTTGATGTTATACCACGTACTTTTGAGCATTGCAGTGTTGCATGCAATTTAAAAATAATTGTCCTCATTATTCTTGTTTAGAAAAAAAAAAATCTGTATCTCTATATACTAAGTAAATAATTACATTCCAACACACTTATTTATGTTTTATGTGCCCACACATTCAGGGCCGCCCTAAATGCAAATACTTAACAGGTAATGAATGATGTCAATGTGCAAAATTTCGAAAATCTCAAAAATCAAATCAATTTCCTACCTGGAAGAGATGCGCACATAGCAATTGAAATAAATTTGGGGAAATATGTAGTTAACATTCCCTGTTCATCAAGTTCGTCTATCTTTGCTTTTAAGCAGAAACATTCTGACAATTAAAAAAAATTGGCACGGTGTAAAAGTTCAGTTACGCAAAACTTAGACTTGACTTGAAAATTGTATATCTGGCAAATGAGCAGCGCGTGTATGTAGTTACCAAATAAAAAACTTCATTAAGAAACTTGGAGAGATATAGAGTTTTGATTTATAAGTTAAATTTCTAAGTGCAAAGAAACCCGTGAGAGAATCATGCTGTCACTTTTTTTTTTAATAAAATCCCTGCAAGTATGCCACACCAATATAATTTTTTGTATAAATGTAATCCATCTGGCAATCGAAAAACAAAACAATCACAACTTGATACGCGTAAACACATTTATTTTAATGGTAAAAGGTCTCGGTTCTTCTATCATATCCTTTTCTCTAAAACTACCTTTTTTTTAATCTTTCTTCCTCTACCTTCATCTATACTTTTATCGGTATCCTCATCCTCATCCGCATCCCTTTCTTTATATTCATCTTGGTTTTTATTTTTATGTTTGTCATATTCTTTATATACATATTCCCCTTCACCTTTGCACTTATACATATAAGTAAGGTGTTTAAATTTATCTTGGTCTTCATTTTTTCTTTATCTTTACGCAACTTTGTTTTTGTTTTTATTTTTACCTTTGCCTTTATCCTTTTCTTTATCTATGTAAGTACTCGCCTTTAATTTTATTCTTGGATTAGTGTTTTTCTAAGTGTTGTTTCACTTCAAAAAGTTTTCGCGTATTATGCATACATGTGTTCTCATACATATATCTATGGACATACATAATATGTGCAGACATACCTAGATTACTAAAAAATAGAAACAGATCCGCATTAACCGCAATGAACATATGTACGAATGTATGTATTTACATATGTACATACGCTGCGATTTGGTTATAAATAAATATTGCGCCATCTGTTTATCAAAAGCCGAGATATTTAATTACGCACACATACATACTTTTTGTCTCCTTCCCTCACTTCCAACGCATGCACGTGTTAGCAAAACAATAACGAAGTGATTTTGTATGGGAAATCATTAATGCCCATATACTTCCCAATACTTCCCATATAACAAACGAAAGCTCTTGGATTTTTGACTAAAGAAAACAAAAACAAAATCATTCGAGCTAATTTGCTCATTTTACAACAATCTTTTGCCTTAAAATGCTCAATATTTGTTGAATTTATATAAAATCTGTACACGATAATATTTCTATATCAGCAAATCATAAGCTGCTGGAGCACTTTAAAGGCTTAAAATTGACCCCAAAATAAGCCAATGTTTACCGTTCTTTTTGCGACAGAAACCGAATTGGTTACTTATAAAAATGAATCTGTCGATAGGTTTGGAGTTTTATCTTTGAAACGCCATACTTTTCTTTGAAATCGCTTTGTTAGTTGTCGTGCAATATGCGTTTTCGTGAAGCTCTAAAAATTACAACTACAACATTTCAGCATAGCCTCCATATCGAAACGTAAGAGGGATTCTACGTCAAAACCAAATCAAAGGTTGTTAAAACGATATTGATCGTTTTCATTTTTATTTTATTAAGAACGAGGTATAAGACTTTAATGGCAATTTACTCAAAGCCCGGTTGACACTAATCTACGGTTAAACATAGTTTTCCACGTCTTCGACTCCATGCATATAACAGGGCGTTGGTAGCGTCGATGGCGATGTCAAACCGGAGATTAGTGTCAACCAGGCTTTGAGTAAATGGCCCTAAGGGTTGCAGAATGTTTGGTTTTTGTCAAACACGAACGAATAAAAAAAAATACGAAGCTGCGTGGCCGAAAAATTACGATTTATGGAGGGCACCCAATCACTTACATTTAGTCTGTCCCAGTTAGTGTTGCCAGAACTTTTTTAGACAAAAGGCCAAATGGCCAAAAAAATAAAGCTAAAAAAGCTAAATCAAAATTTTAGTTATGGCTAAGAAAAATAGCTAAATTAACAAACCAAATATTCTGGGTCGTTATTATAACTTCATAACAGTGTCAATGTAAATATATATATACATATCGCACGTTTAATAGTATAGAGATGTAATTCCAAATTTGGGTTTTCAGAGATTTTATTATGCAATTAACAAGCTTGATAAGTGGAATAAGTTCAGTCTAGCAGATAACCGAACTTCCCAAACTTGGCGAAGATATGTGTCTCTCTACCTGTCTGTTTGTATGCCAACTGTATGAAGGTATTGCCAAGATCATTTCTGAAAAAAATCTGGAGGATTGCCACCTGTTTTTTAAACTCAAATAAATAGAGATTATGGGCAGGTACTGATGTCTTGCTGATCAAAAAACGAAATAATACTTGGCTAAGTTTATGGGAGTTCATATTTTAGTTGCAAGGATCGCCAAAGCGTTAGTTTAATCTTATTTTTAATAATGAATAAAAGTGGCGTAAATAAATAAAGAAAATATCGTGAATAATGTGATTTGCATGGTATCTCAGTTTCGAGGTGCTTAATGTATACTTTAGTTGACATACATACATATGTATGTACATACATACGAAATATATTATTATGTACATACTACATACACTAATCAAAACTAATCAGTGTTTTCATTTTTATATTTCAGCTAAATTGACAACAATTGTGCCACAATACTACAACAATGATAGCAATACAAACAGCTAGTATGACGAATTGTTTTTTATGCAAATAAGGTAATTACCAACACTAACTCTATGGGCACATACAGTGGCGTAGACAGAAGGGCCAATGATCTATTTAGTTAGTTTTTTTAGTTTGAAAAAGTTGGCGCTATTTTTACGGCAGCTTTTATATTTGACACTTTATATCCCTTACACTTGTTGCAAAGTGTTTCGCCGATCTCCTTCTCCAAATGGAGCGACCTAGAGTTTTACGCCGTCTCTGTACGGCAAATTAATTTTAAGAGAACCTTTTCATGGCTGAATATACTCGGAGGTTTGGCATTGCCTGCTGAGCAGCGACCGCTGTTAGAAAAATTCTGTTTCTGATTTGATGTTGCCCGGACCAGGAATCGATCCCATAGCTAAACAAAGTTAGCAGTCCCTCTCTCAGTCCCATTTTTTGCTTGGTTTAATATAAATAAGTTGCCATACTTTTAATTATTTAAAAATAAACATCCCAAGAAAACAAAAAAATGTAGTTTTTAAAGTACTAAATGCGTTTTTCTTTTTAATTTAAGAATATATTTTTTTAACATACTTCACAAGAAATTAATAATAAAAACGTTTATAAAAATCTCAAGGACGCCCCTCGGCAGGCAGTGGCAAACCTCCAGATGTATTTCTTCCATGAAAACAGCTTCTCATAAAAAAAACAGTCGCAGTCCAGTGTCGGCGCTAAACTGTGGGGTCCCTCCTCTTTGTGTGACAACAACCAGGCGCATGCCACAAATCGGAGGAGAAGCTCGGCCAAACACTAACATATCGTCCCTACCATGTCAAACTATCGAATATGAAAATGGGTACTTTTCAGGAGAACAAAAAAACTGTTGTAAAAAATGTTGTCGTCATTAGGAAAAGTGTAATATTCGACACTTTGTTGAAGCCAGGTATCCTCTGCTTCTAAGAAGATCTAGTCTAGAAGTCGACGAATTGCCAACTTACATATAATTGTACCGTGCTACAGAGAATTTAATACACGAAAAAATCAATATGTTCACAAAACTGGGGACCAAATGTAGTAAAACGGCGCTTTTAGTTTTTCTCTCTAACGTAAGGTTTTTTTTGTTTAAAAAGACTTTGAAATTTCTAGAATATAATTGAATAAAAAACTTATTCAAAAGATTCGGTGCACTGTAGAATAACAATATGGGTATCAATTAAAAGGAAAAATTCTGCAGAATACAAAAAAAAATAATTTTTGAGTGCACCAGGACGACTAAGTATTGAAAATGTCCTTTTAAAACTTTATCCTTGAATATCCTTGGAAATTTCCAATATTTATTTTTGATTAAAATATTTGTCAAGGACTAATATGTTAACTACCACATTCTCGAATTTCGCCCTTCTGACTTTATTAGTTTAGGATAAAAAAACAATTAGACTTCTCTTCAGGACCGTAGCCAGGATTTTTTTTTCAGGGGGAGATTCTGGCAAAGTATTTTTTTTATTTTCACTTTTATTTTAACATATTTTGATTAAAAGAAAAATACTGATAAAAATAAAATATTTCAAACAAACAACAAAAAATATAATTGATAATCGCATGAGGCTATTACCTGAAAATTTTAAAATGCACTTGTTGGCACTATGCACTATGATAGCACAGCCGAGTAATCATAGTCAAATTATGTACAGTAGACTGCATCACTCTCCATACAAAAAAAAAACACTGTACTGTTTTTTCCACTGGAATTAAGATATACGTGAGCTGGACCGATTTAATATCTCCAAAAATTGAGTTTTTATTAATAAAAACAGTTTTTTTTTATATTTTTTTAAAAAAATTGCCTCAGATGACTAAACAGTTAAGGCTTAAAAAGTTTTCATCAAAATATTTTTTAAAAAATTTTCTACGGAATCATAATATGAGATTTTTGTTGCTGTGTTTGCACTTTTTTCAAATACTGGTTAAAGAAAATTTTTAAGAACTCAGCCAAAACCTTACCAATTTGGACTTATGAGGTATCATTGGTAAGGTTTTTTCTCACCCTTTTAATATCTTTGCGAATAAGCTCATTCAAAGTATGAAAGCGGACGGTAAGATAAACGAGTGTCATTCCATGTTGAATTAAGATGTGTTGGTATTGAATAAAGAAAAAATTGGGACGTGAATGAGTTTTTTTGCAAAGAAAGGAGAGAAGGTGAAGGGTGAGAAAATGCCTTTCCATTGATACCTCATAAGTCTATATCGGTAAAGATTTGGAGCAGTTATTTAAGTTTTTCTAACACCAATCTTTTAAAAAAGTTAAAAAAACAGTATCAAAAATCTCATTATTATGGTTCCGATGATACAATTTTTTATATTTTTATGTAGATTTTTTAAGCTTAAACTGTTTTGTCATCTGAAGGGGTTTTTTCCAAAAAATCCTTTAAGAAACTATTTTTATTTATAAGAAAACTTCATTTTTAGAGGTATTATCAAACCGGTCAAGCTCACGTAAATCTTAATATTTTTTCCGAAATATTTTGGTAGAAGTCATAAAACATACGCAGAGCCTTAATTTAATGTATTCTCTATTATTTCAATTCAACCGGAAGAAGGAACAGCATATGGGTATAAGACTAAGTAGGTAAATTGTGTATCTATACTACGGGTGATGCCAGATTATATTATTCATATTATTATTTTCAACAAACACACCAAGAACACCTAAAACTCCCTCCCTTAATAAGATATTGTTAGTGACAATATACATAAATGAAGATACTGGTATCATTATTATGGAACCATGTATGCGCTCTAAAAGAACAAACTGAACATATGATCTACGGTTTCAGTACTTTAATTGTTTTGTATACAAGGGCGTAGCCAGCCTTCACTTAGTGGGAGCAGGAGTTTATACAGAGGGAAGAAATGCTTTTGATTAATTTCTGTTTTTTGTGTATCTAAAAAATATAATTTTTTTGTTTAAAATATTTTATTTATAAAAAAAGGTATTTTTTTGATTTTAAGTATTTTTTCTCAAATTTTTATATATGAAGTATACAAATATACATACCAGAAGAAAGGGGTTTTAATCGCCTTTACAACGATACCGTACCGGTTTGTAATTTTTTTGTCTAAAATACTTTTTTTATAAAAAGGAGGTATTTTTCCTTTTAAGTGTTTTTTTCTAAAATTTTTATTATACAAAGTATACAAATACGCATATCAGAAGAAAGGAGGTTTAATTGCATTAACAACGATATCAATTTTTTAAAAATCGGTTGGTAATTTTTTTGGTTTAAAATATTTTTTTTTATAAAAAAAAGGTATTTTTTCCTCTTAAATGTTTGTTCTCAAATTTTTACATACGAAGTATACAAATATGCATATCAGAAGAAAGTGGGTTTAATCACGTTTGCAACGATACCAAAAATCAGTTCAAAATTGTTTGAAATATAAGGTTTTTAATTTTTCGAAGAGCCGACCTTATTGCACCTGTAATATAAGTTTGCACAAAATAAGTTTATGTACCATTCAAATAAGAGCAGTAGGCGGAATAAGTCTATGTTTTTTATTTTTAGCTATTTACGTTTAATAATAAAAAATAAATTTTTACCAAAGGCCCATATCTCAGTTTCGGAGGGTAACTTCTAAAAACGGAGAAATTGCTTTTTTACCTACGACTCAATCTCTTAAAAAAAATTTGTTTGGTCCAATACCCAGCCGAGTGCTGTACAGTGTAATAATTCCAGTATCTTCATTTATGTATATTATTGTATAGTCCTTGATATATATTTTTTTTAAAAATGAATATGGAAAATTTCCGAGGATATTCAAGGATAAAGTTTTAAAAGGACATTTTCAACACTTATTCGTACTGGCGCACCAAAAAATTATTATTTTTTTAAATCTACCGAATTTTTCCTCTTAATTGATGCCCATATTGTTACTCTACAATACACCAAATCTTTTAAATAATTTTTTTATGTAATCATATCCCGGAAATTTCAAAGTCCTTTAAAATAAAAATTAAATCATGACGTCAGAGAGAAAAACTAAAAACGCAGTTATACTATATTTGGCTCCTAGTTTTGTGAATATATTCATTTTTTCGTGTGTTTTAAAAATTTTTGGTTTTTGTCCCACGCTGTTATGAACGCATGCCCAAGGTATCGTAAATGAAAAAGCATTTTTGCCCATTCGATAGTTAGACTTGGTAGTGACGATATATGTAACCAATCTATTATACTCAAGTGATATTTTCTACGCGTGAATGTTACATAATATTTGAGTCGCAGAAATATTATTCACAATCGGCGCCTCTGACCATTGTAAGCCCCACCTTTAAGAGTTCTTAATCATTAGTCGTTAATCATTGGCCCCTTATCGTTTGTAAACAGTCAATATTCATTAGTCCACGGTACTTCGCCATAAATCATTATTTATTAGTCGCTGATCATAAGTCATTGCATCTTAGTCAGTACTGATATTTCGATATTCAATATCCATATGTTATTAAATAGTCATTGCCCATTAGTTGTCACTAGTTTGTCATTGGTTGTCACTAGTGGGCAGTCGTTTGTCATTAGCCATAAATCACATAACCCCCTTTCAAAAATCCTGGCTACGCTATTGGGTACATATGTACGTATGTATGTTTTGTAGCCGTACATCATTCATTGACTCATTTACTCTTTAATTTATTTTATTCCTCCATTTATTCTAATTTCAATTTTCATCACTTTTCATTCTCAATTTCATTTTCATTGCATTAGCCACACTTGTGTATACATACCCTGCAATAATTGTTGGACCATGTGGTCAACATTTGAGTACTTACAATATGCTCCTTTATAATGCAATAGCGGACCATCTCGTGTCTCTATACCAGTTTTTTGTTACCCGATCATTGATCGTGTTTTAACGATCGTCATCACTCCATGTTTATTGGGCTATGTTGCCGAGAGGTATGTAGGTACTCCATCAAGCAGTCAGTTGGAATAGTTTTATGCTACTCTGATGTAATGCAGAGCTGAAGTATATGGTCCGGCCCTAGGACAATGCAATGTTAATTGTACCACATTTT